TTTATTTTATCTGTCTGTATTTATTTTATCTGTCTGTCTTTATTTTATGTCTGTCTTTATCCTGATGAAAGTGTAAAAATAGAAATAGGACCTAAATCATTCAGTGTTTTTATAGATGATCAACAGCATCTTAAAATCCAGTAAAAGGCTCAAAACTGAGACATAAATAATGACCTTTCACTGAAGTCTACCTTTATTATTTATATTATACATAAAAAAGGTCACTAATTGTCATTAAGGCGACCCCTGGGTGCCGTGGTCCTCTCTGAATCTGGTTCTTCACGTCTGATCTCGTGTGTTCGCGTGTGTCATCAGGTCTCGGCGACCTTCGCAGCCAGTCTGGTGACGAGCCCGGCCATCGGGGACTACCTGTCCGCGCAGTACGGCGACAGCCTGGTGGTTCTGGTTGCCACGATAATCGCCGTGGCCGACATCGCCTTCGTGTTCTTCGTCGTCCCAGAGTCGCTGCCGGACAAGATGCGGCTGACATCCTGGGGCTTCCCCATCTCCTGGGAGCAGGCCGACCCCTTCGCCGTGAGTTCACATACCTTTACCACCAACAAACGCTCTGCTGGTCTATAACGAAGCGCCGCTCGCATCAGGGGCTGGAGGCAGGAACTTGGTGACCAGCCACATCTAGTGTAGTGTCTATAGAGAAGAGAAAAACCAGAGCTGTGAGGCCGTGGTCCAAGTTCAAAATAAACCAGAGAGAGTTAGAAGAGACTAAAACACTTTGTGACGTCTGCTGTGTGTGATTGATTGTTTTCATGCTCATCAGGTAACTTATAGTTTACTGGTTGAGGTCACTTTTTCCAAAAATCAAGTTTGAATGAATTTGAAGAAATAATCTCCAAACACAACTTCAGGTACCCAGAAACAAACAAATCAGAAAATACTAAATAAATATTACCAGCATTACTATCTTAGTTTACTGACAGTCAGTAGGTAAAGCTGATAGTGGAACAGTTACAGTCTGAATTCAAACAGGTCGTGAAACAATTACAGATTAACCACGTTCAGAATATAACAAACGGCTACAGATGCAGCCAGGAGAACAGAAATAATGTCAAAAATAACTGTTAATACGAAGAGAAGAGAAATGGTTTCCTTCCCAGCGTAGAAATGTGTCTGCCAGCTGTCAGCTGAATGAATGATTGATCGATCGATTGATTGATTGATCGATCGATTGATTAATTGATCGACAGTTGTGTTGACAGCTGATTGTTGTGTGTGTCTTCAGTCTCTGCGTCACGTGGGCAAAGACACCACAGTGCTGCTGATCTGTGTCACAGTGTTCCTGTCCTACCTGCCTGAGGCCGGACAGTACTCCAGCTTCTTCCTCTACCTGAGACAGGTAACACACACA